GGGATCTGTTATTACAGGACTTATACTGTATCCCACAGCAAACTGAAGAGGTTCCTGCAGATCGAGTCTCTTCCTAATTAGAAAGCTACTCTGCCTTTGACACCCCTACATCAGCTGTCCTAGGGATTTATTACATGCAGGTTCCAAGTGCCCATGTTTGGGAAGCCTGCATGGAAAAGCAGATATGCTGCCACTGTTCCTCCCAGCTGTGAGTTGAGGTTTTTGCTCTGATGCCTCTGTGCTGATGCTGCTTTGGCTGTTTATGATGAGTCCTGCCAGCTGACCCCGAATCCAATCCTTCAGAGTCTGTTTTTTCTGCTTTTCCAGTAAGTTGACCTGAGAATAAAAAAGCTGCATGGGAGAAAGAGTATTTAATTAGATTGATACCAGCCAGGGAAGGCAGGAGAGGGGCTGCTAGCTTGGCAAATCCAATTTGGTTTCACTGAATGGAAGAGTCAAGTTAACTCTGTAATCTCTGTTTAGCATCGTTCCAGGAATGCCTCCTTCCCTTCCCATTTGCTTAGGTGAGTAGGACCTAACAGAGGGTAGAGGAGCGGGCTGTGGAGGCTGTACAGCCCAGGCTTTATTTGGACAACATTAAATTATAGCCAAAGACTAAAATGATGAAAGTCACAAACTGTAACTGAGGCTGCATTCCCTGGGTAACAATGAGCAGCATGTAGCTGGGGGAAATATCAGCTTTTCTTTTGGGAAATCTCAGATACCTTCCGATGTCCTGACTCCTCATTTTAGTGGAATCCTTGTGGGAAGAGGTTGTCTGCTTCCTTATAACACTCAAGGGATCCCATTGCTGGTCCAAAATGAAGACAACAGAGGACTGAAGCCTCAACTTGGAGGGCTGGCTGGGAAGGCTGGAGAAACTTAGCTTTAGTGAGAATCTGTGGATGGAAATGTCTGTGAGATGGTAGTCTTTGTGTCACACCACATCCATCAGTACCTGACCTGAGCTGTCATTGCCCTTCTTTGCACCCTGAACCCACACACTCTGCACCACATCAGCCAGAAAGATGGACCCCGGATCTAGCCCAGCACAGGAATGTGGGATTTGCTGGGCAGAGGGAGGGAGCGGGATGGAAGGAGGGGCAAGAGAAAGGCATCCTTCTTGGAAGGTGGGGGTCTACTGCTAACAAGCAGCTTGTACCCATCTAAGGATAGGTTGGAAAGAAGAGTCTATTTCTTTTCTGCAGCAGACAGCTTCATCTCTGACTTGATTTCCAAAAAATTGTATGAATAGTAGGGGCCTTTACTGACTGTATTATTTCCATTTTGATTTCCTTTCAGTCTGTCTCTCATTGCTCCTGCAGCATTTTCCTTTGCTGGGATGCTCACAGACCCTTTGCTGGGCAGGAATGCATCATCCCCACCCTTGGCAGCCCGAGCAGTGCATAGCAGCTCAGCCAGCACACCCACCTTCCACTGCCCTGATACAAACCAGGGTCTGGGGAAAATGGGGAACACTGGGGATCCAGGCTGTGGCATTCTGCAGGATCCGTGCAGGACCCAAACCACATGCAAAACACCTGCCCAGTGAAAGATGAAATGCTGATGGCTGGTGTTGGCTTCCTCAGTGTCTCCAGTCAGTGCAAAGCTGAAGGGAAGCTGAAGCCATTTGATGAGGAAAATTATTTCCATTTAACTGTGCCTGCATGTATTTGAAATTTTCTTCCATAAAGGTGAGGAGCAAAGTCCTACCACAAATCCAAATATTTGGTTTGTTTTTTTGTTCTCTAGTCTGTTCATGGGAACCCGAATATTTCATTTCACATCAATACTTTGAGTCTGGCCCAAAGAATGAGGCATTTGTCAGCTGCCCCTCATTTTTGTTTCCAGATGAACAATCTGCACTTTTATCCATGTTTTCCCATGTACAGTTTGATTAAGCCTTTCTGCAAAGCTCAGGGTTTGGCCACAAGCTCCTTATTTTGCTCTTTACTTGGCAATAATTGCCATTTCTTAATTTATTATCAATATCAGTTAAATAAAACAGCATTGCTGGTGTCCTCAGCTGGAGGGTTCCTTGACCCACAGCAGGACCAGGCAATGGTTGTGCAAATGCTTCCAGCCTCAAGGGACCTACTGAAGCACTTTATATATATATATGTGTTTTTTTAAGCTTTTCAAAACACAGGTTTGAGCTCTTCAGCCTTGAACTTTATTGCACAGTGCAAAGCTGATGCCAAAGTCCTTGTTTAAAAGAGTTCATTATTTTTTAAAATACTGCCTACCTCTAACTCTTATTTATTCTTCTGAGGAAATAAGCCAAGGCAGAGTGGTTGCTGAGCTGGTTTTTTGGTTTTTTGGGTTTTTTGGTTTTGTTTTTTTTTTGTTTTTTTTTTTGTTGTTTTTTTTTGTTTTTGTTTTTGTTTTTGGGTTTTTTTGTTTGTTTGTTTGGTTGGTTTTTTTTGTTTTTGTTTTGGTTTTTTTAAAGTTTTTTTTTCTTCTCATTCAGGCTTTAGTGTGTCACCTAAAGAAATTGGAGAAGATGAACACATTTCAGGCATGCAGCAGGACAGCCATATCCTCTCTGCAGGCTGGGATTTACCTGCTTCCAGTCACTTTGAGTTAAATTTTGCAATTCCTCTCCTAAGAACCTTAAATCCATTGTGTGCAATACTTGAGGTGGGGCAGAGCATCTAAGCTGTGCATCTATAGGGTATCTACCCCATATCTATAGGGTATTTCAGCAGAGGGTTTTGTGGGGAGAGCAAAGGCTTAGCTGGTGCAGTTAGAAGAGGAATCCATAATCTCTGCTCCTTTTTCCCCCTTTGCAGGTATGGTGCTGTGTGAAATCAAAATCCCTCTCTGTCAAGCACTGAGAGTGTCCGGGATGACAATGATGCTCAGATGGATGGACACATATCATCCACATCCTCATGTACAGGTAACAATGAGCTCTTGTGAGCACCCTTTAAGCATGAAGATCCTTTTTTCTCTCCAAACTGCACCTGGTTTCAATGGAGTTGCGTGAGATGCTGGATAAATACAGGTAGTTTAAATAAGGTGTCACTTCTTGCCTGCTCTTCCTCCTGTGAAAGCATAGGGGAGAACCAGCTATGAGAAGCTCTTCTCAGTCTCCTGAGCTTTGCATCCAACCCCAGAAAATCTTGCTGTCTCCATCCCTGCCAAATGGCAGGGTGCTTTCACTTGCAAAATATTTCAAAACACGGGTAGTGTTTTCTCTTAAATTAGTTTTGTTAAAGGTATTTTTTTAGTAAGAAACCAGTTGTCATGATCATAATACCAGGGGACCTTGTTGGTTATCAGCCATGGAGGTGGTTTCCAAAGCCAGGTTGCAAAGCATGTTAGAAACTGATGAACATCTCTTCCTAAACACCTGGATCAGTATGCTCCCTGTCTGGGGTAGATGGGCTTTGGGTCCTGGGAAGAGAGATGGCCCTAAAAAGTGACCTTCATGCCATGGAGCAGTGCCAGGTGACTTCATCTAACACAGGAGATCAGGCAGCTCCCATGGAGCACAAGGCCACCACTACCAGGGAGCCATGTGGGAAGAGGGGACTGAAGGAGGGGTTCCATGAGGGAGCCCTCAACCTACAGTGAGGCCTGACTTTGGGCCATGAGGCAAGGACAGATGACAGAGAAACCTGTGGAGTGACTCTACTCTTTGCCTGCAAGGGACTCGAGCAGGTATCCCCTAAAAATTTAGACTTTTCCATGTCATTACCTAATGAGTTCCTCTCCCATGCTGGGGTTCCCCACCAGAGCACAGTCAAGGAGTGCTTCTGGCATTGCTGTTGCATCAAGATCTTGATAATAAATTTTTTGAGGTCCAAAGATAATCCCAGGCTGCTGTCTAGGGAATCCCTGCACTGAGATGCTCCCATGCTGCTGTTTAAACACATCAGCTTTACAGCATCTCCTTTTTCTTTGCACACTGGAAATGCTGGACATTGCTGTGTGATATCCCTGAAAGTATTTCCTGAGTAAAACACAACTCAGTTCTTCAGGGTTTTTTTGCCTCCCTCAGATCAAATAGGAACCTTCTCAGAGCGAACATTAAATACTTTTTAAAAGCCTTTTCTGCTGCTTCTGAGAGCATCTCTAAAGCAATCATTACGTGAATAAAACAAAAATATGTATATATCAAATCAAAGGCAACCTAGAAATAACTGTAAGGGTCTCAAAGGAGATAATAATGATTCTCGGAGCACACATGGAGACCAGCTCAGTCCTAGGTGCCTAAAATCACTGCAGGTGAATACACAGTGACATTCAAATCAAATCTACTCCCAAGCTGCTCCATCATGAATATAATGCTCTACCAGCACAGAGACCTTAAACCCCGCGGTTTCTCCATTTGATTAGTATTACAGGAGGAAGACGATGCAGGTTTCTGTCTGTCTTTGTCCTCTGGCTGCTCGTTCTGGCGAGGGGTACCCTCCCGATGGCTGTGAGGAATGAAAAGGTGAGAGACCTCTGCCTGCTGCAGCTCTGCTTTCACAAACCGAGGAGGAGAGTTACCAGCTTCAGAAAACTCCTTTTTTTCCCCTTAAACTCTACTACTTCTTTGAAGCCTCACATTTCCCTCCTTCTGCCTTCATTCGGGGGGGGTTTGAAGCTTTAAAGGTCGTATGCAAGCGACGCGCGGCTCTTCCGAAGCGGGGGCTGCGGGGTCGGGCTGCTCCAGCCCACCTCGACGGCCGAGCTCCATCCCGCCACAGCCCGTGCCCGAGCACACCCGCGAGGGATCGGCCGGGCGGTGGGACGAGCTCCGGGAAGGGGCAGACTTCCCCACTGCGACCCCCGTGGGGCCGCCCCCGGGGCGGGGCCGCCGCTCTGAAAGCCGGGCCCGGCGGCGGGGCCGGGGCAGAGGCTGCGCCGCCGAGGCAGGGCGAGGGTGAGGGCGAGGGCCAGGAGCAGCAGCACGGCCGCCGCCCTGAAAGCCGGGCCCGGCGGCGGGGCCGGGGCAGAGGCTGCGCCTCCGAGGCAGGGCGAGGCCGAGGGCCAGGAGCAGCAGCACCATGGAGAGCGGCGCCGACGGGCGCCTGGACGCCGCCGCCTTCCTCGGGGCCTGGCGGCGCTTCGACGCCGACGGCAAGTGGGGACACGAGTGGGGGGCGCCGGCTGAGGGGTGCGTGGGTGCCGGGCCCGCTGGGTGCCCTGCGGGGGTCTGTCCGTGCAGGGGCGAGCGGGACCGCCAGGGTGGGTGCGGTGTGGGTGCCTGGGATGCCGCCCATGGGACCGATATTTCTGAGCTTTACACCCACGAGGTCCTGCCGGTGTTCTTGAGCCCCCCTCGTCCTCCTCACCATGAATATCATAGCTGTAAATCGCCCTTTCCACCCCAAATTTTTTGCCTTTTCATCATTTCCCCGTTTCATCTGCTGTTCTCTCTTTTCGTCCCAGTTTGGGACATTTTTTGTTTCTGAAAAGTTTTCTGTAAGAAAACTTCCAAAGGGAGCACCGCAGCTGTGCCCAGCCCTCACACAGAAGTGAACAGATGAAATTGAATAGAACATGGGGCTCCCCTGAGTGGGCAGGCAGGGCTGAGATCCTGACCCTGAAGCCTTGAGCTACCTGCACGGTTCCTGGAACTCAGGCAGTACCCTTGACCATTAATATATTTGCTCTTTTTTTAGACAATGGTTACATAGAAGGGAAGGAGCTTGACGATTTTTTTCATCATCTCCTGGAGAAACTGGGACCAGAAGTAAGTGACTGTGCCGCGTTAATTGCCCATCAGGTCCAAGTAAAAAAAGTTATGCTGAGAGATGGTTTGTGTTTGTTGTTCCCCGATTGCCGACTTCCTTAGCAGTTCCAAGGTAAAGAGCTTTTCTCTTGGCAACAGGGTGGCTTTTAAGCACGTACAACAAGTGCAGTCAGCTGAGCAGTTTGATCAGTTGTTTCCAGCCCCACAGCTGCTGGTCAGCGGCAGATCGCAGTTGGCACCAGCTGAAGGGGCTGGTTGGCAGTGTGGACAGAAAGTCATTTACTGTTGTTGAATAGAACCAAGTGAAAAAGCACGGGCATACAGCCTGGCTACCTGAGCGGGAGGGCAATGTTCATGGTTTATTTGTTCAAGCCTGTGCTGATTAATTTTGTTCATATGATAGGTTTCTTTCACAGGTCAATTTTTAACAAATATACTGTCATTAATTTTAAATGGTGCTTAGGAAGAAGGCTTATGTCTATATTGCCACAAATGGCTAAAAGCCAAATGAGCATCAATTCTGTTGCTTCTAAGATCCAGACCTGGCTCTACAGTGTTTTTGGGCTTCTCCCCTGGTTTCTTTTCCTGGTTTTGGCAGCATTTCTCCTCTCTCATTTTCTGCTTCTCCATACAAACAGAAGTTGCACTACAATTTACAGGGGCTGCTTTCCTTAGCTCCAGGTCTTACCTTGCCTATGAGTGTCACCATCAGTGAAGGAGAAATCCTGCCACTCAGGCCAGCACTCAGAAGTTTACAAAGGATATAGTAATATTTTCACTACACAGAGTCTGCCCAAATAGGGAAAGGAGAAAACATCTTTCAAATGGAAGGAGGAGGTATGCCAAAAAACAGAGTTGAAACAATTCCTTTAAGCAAAAATTAATTAACAAAGACAGAAAAGATAGCTGATCAAAGGCATAAATTCCTGAGCATCAAGTGTAAAATCAGAGTGGTACTTACAAGTCAATTAGTACTCTTAGATCTTTAGGGCTGCAATTAAAAAAAAATAGAAGCTGTGGGTAATTTTTTCAAGCATATTTTTATTTAATTTGCAAGTAAATTTGGATTGAAATATTGGCAGTTTCTGCAGAAATGTCTTTCAGAGCATGGATGGCTAGATGAAGAGATAGGCATGTAAAAAGGCTTCAAATGAATCAAAAAAGATTCAGCAATAAGAACATTTAGGGACATAGAAAAGCTGATTTAAAGAGAAATCAGAAATTTTGTGATTGTTTACCCAGGAACAAAAGATGAAATTGGGAGCTGCTGGTCTTGAGGTACTGAAACAGCAACACAAAGCATGCTCAAACAAACTCAGTGACAGCAAATATGAGATGTTGAAGAAGACACTTAAAATGAGGCTGCAGAACTCAGTGCTGCAGTGGGACCTCCAAGTGGGGCTCTCTGGAGTGAGGTGATGGTGATAAAATCTAGGGATAATCAGAGATCTCATTCTGAAGGCAGTTTCCTAAGGATTTGAGTCAAGAGAAACTCCAAGCCCCACTCTAGCCCATAGCTGCCCTTGTGTATCCCTCACATGAGGTCCTAGGACAGTGTCACACCAGCTAAGTAGAAAACCCTACAGTTTGTGTAGTCTTACTGTTGCCAGTGTGAACTCCACTACATTGTGTCATTTATCAGCACACAGAACTTGCAAAATGAGGATTTTCTAGCAATTAACTTCCTGCTTTAAGAAATCAATATTTTATTGCTTGTTAGAAGTCTCTGCTTGGATGACTCTAGCTTAACTCAGCACACTGATCCAGTTGCATCTCCTTTGCTTCTGCTAGCTAAGTTTTGCCATTAAAAGAGATAGTTTAACACAAATTGAATGGAGAAAGAACCAACTCACTCTCCTCCTATTAAATAGAACTAAATAGGCTAATTCTGAAGGACAGTGCTCACTAACTTTCAGAGTGCTCAGACAGGCTCTCAGTGCTTTTGGTTTTTTTTCCCTTAGTCTTCTTGCCTATTTTTGGCAGTGTTTCCACTCTGGTAATATTCGTGATAAAATTACATGGCAGGCTGCAGGCAAAGCAGGCTGTCTTTGTGGCAGAAACCCCAAGGGGAACTTTTGTCCTGGGAGGCTGAAAGCAGTCCTCTGCCCACTCCCTCGACTATGGGAGCCACTTGAGCACCAAGTTAAACAAAAGTCTTAACTACCTTTGTACAATGAGTTTGTCTAACAACATTGAGCCATTTTTTTCTTTTTTGCATGATTCATAATGTACAGGGTTGTGATTATGGCAGGAGGGGTAAAGGGTCCCCTCTGTATTGGTTTTACCATCCTACAGAAAGTGTCCTGTGTGATAAAAGGGTGAGCTGGGACTGAGCATCCGTCTGCTGTACTACTCATCTTGACCTTTACTCCTTTGGTTTCTTAATGTCTTAGTTTCCTTGCACGGTAAAAGGGGGAGACAGCAGAACACTGGCACAATTTACAGATGTGTCACAAGGATTAATTAGTGACTCTGTCTGAAGTGCTACACAAGTGATAAATAATGTTGTCAGCACTAGAAGTTGTCTCTGCTTGAATAGAGAACGGCTTCATAATTATATTTTTTCAGCCTGCATTCTATAAGCTGTTATTTTTCTTAATGACCACTGTGGTCCTTCAGCTCTGTTTTTCTTCCCAGTTACTCTGCAGCATCCCCAGCTGACACTAAATGCCAGGGGATGGGAGCAGCTGGGAAAACAAAGCAAAAATGAGCCTGTCGGGAAGCTGAGCGACACAGCTTTTCCTGACAACTCTGAGAGAGGAAAGAAACTTGAAATAGCATCCAGTGATGGAGGCCAATTCATTGTCTTTTATTGAACCATCAACAATTGTGGGGGGAAAGGGAAAACTTTGCAACAAAGGTAGACCTGTAGTAAACCAACCAAATCCCAGATGCTGCTTCCTGTCCCTTCTCAACCAGCAGTGGGTGATTGCTGAAGGCATTTGGACAATGCACCTAACAACACACTTTAACTTTTGTTGAGCCCCAAAGTGGTCAAGCAATTGGACTAGATGTTTGTTGTAGGTCCCTTCCAACTGGAATATTCTATTCTATTCTATTCTATTCTATTCTATTCTATTCTATTCTATTCCATTCCATTCCATTCCATTCCATTCCATCCCAGTCCTAAGAAAATCCCTTCAGTTTCCAGGTGTGTGTAATTCATTCTCATGCCAGCATTATATCTTCGAGCTGCTGGCACTGTTCACCTGTTTCTCTTATCACTGCTGTGATTTCTCTCTAACCATTTGAGCCTCCAGCTTCCAAGCTGCTACTGCATGCCTGCCATGAGCAGCCTGAGCTCTCTTCTGCTCTTTCATAAACCTCTTTCTTCTACATTATAGCAACTCTATACGTACATTTTCTAAAAGTTTTTATACTGAGCAAAAGCCCAGTGGAAAGGACAGTTACTTTCAGTGTCAAAGAAGTAATTTTATTAGAACAGGAACTATAGCTCCTGCAGATCTGTCTTATATTCCGGTACATCTTTCTTTCTGTATCAAGATCACTAAGGATCTTCCTTGCTTCCTCTTTTCTATGGCTTTAATGAAGCTCTATGTATATTCTCATAATAATTAGATAAGACTTTATAGAAAGGAATGGCTGTAAATTTTGGGGTTGGATTACTGAAAGTTTCCTTAGAACCAATGATATCTGGGCAGATATGGAGAGAAATGCACATTGACTTTGGGCTTTCTCAGAAATGTATTTCACTTTGCCTAAATTATGCTCAAATTTGATAGAAAACTTTCAGATAAAGGATGGTTGCCTTCACCTAACTGTAAGTGTATAGAAGACCACAACAATTGTTGAAGTATAGATTTGATTAGACAAGACAGGTATTAGTCTTGTTTAAATCTCTCCTGCCTGAAAACCACATGAATAGTTATGACTAGAAGGGACTGAAGTTAATCCTCTGGAGCTCACTCTTAGCAGCCATTAAGGATTTGTCTTTGGTTTTTTACTTCCAAAGAATATAAACACCCTCCAGCTGCCCTTGCACTTCACCCTTGCCTTGCACACTGCATTGTCTATCTAAATAATGTGTATAATTTAGCATAGCCAGGAATGCAACAGCTAGTCAAACAATGTTTTATGGCCAAAATATCAGTCAGCCTCAAAGCCATCCAAGACAGACTTCCACTGTGCTTTATCACCCCAAGAGACCTAAGGTCAATAGTGACCAGCAGGTGAATATCAAGAAGATCCCTAGCAGAAAGCAATCAGCTTTCATCCACATTCAGAATATCTCAGAATTCTAACCCCCAGGCAATCCTGGCTCTCTAAATATTAGGACAGAATTTTTTCCTGTCAGGGTGGAGAGGCCCTGGAACAGGTTGCCCAAAGAAGCTGTGGATGTCCCATCCCTGGAAGTGTTCAGGTTGGATGGAGCTTTGAGCAACCTGGTCTAGGGGAAGATGTTGGAACCAGATGATCTTTGAGGTTCCTTTCCACCCAAACCATTCTATCATTCTGATTATTGCCAAATAGAGTTCTTTCTTTAGGTGTGGCTTCCATCAGCCTTGATTACCCTGGCCAGCTCCTAATCCTGTTCCTCCACATTAAGGCATTGAAGTGCCTCGAGGTATTTCTTAATGCTTACCCAATATACCCATGGTAAAAATGACACAATATGTTTTCATCACCCAAATTCACATCAAACAACTTTCAGCCTAGCAGAGAGGACAGAACCTGTCCAAAACCTAACCGCAAAACCAGGATGGCACAGGGAAGACTGTGCAGTAGCCATTGTTGGATGCTGGTGTCTACTATGGAAAAGAAGCTTTCCCACATTTATGCTGATGAGAATTAGAAAAGAAACCAAAAACACGATGCAGGATGACAGGGTAAGTGCTCATCTATTGTCACATGCAGAAGTACAGTAAATCCTAACCAAAGTACAGGGCCAAATTCTCAAGTGATAGCACTGAAATTAAGTGAGAAAGATTGGCCCAAAGGAGAAATTGGCCCTGGAGATGTAGGGTGAAAACCCACAATTATGCAGGCCATCCAACCTACAGCTGCATGGGGGTAACAAAGTCATTAATGAGATTAGTTTTTACAATGAAGAAATATTTGGCCCAAAAATGAAAGGTTCTTCTTCTAAAGTCAAAGTGTACATTACTGATGTCTCTCTTTTGGTACTTGCTGGCCTCATATCTGTACTGTGTAGCTTTTGGCATGATAATAGTTGTTGATTTTCTTTTCCAACTCTCCTTCTTGGCAGACACAATTTATTTTCATAGATCTTGTAGGAACTCTATATCTGTGGGACCCTTGGCCTTTCTATCATATTTGGCTGAAGACACATGTTTGAGCCAGGATTTTCAGACAATTCTCTAGTTTTTTTTCAAGGAACAGGGTATAACGGTCACTTAAATGTAGTTTCATCTTTTTTTATACCCTAATCAATATAGCAGCTTGCTTCTAAAATCATGTCAAGAAGGAAAAATAAATCAGTTTATTACAGGAATTTCTTAACCAGCAGAAATTAAATGAGACATCCCATTTCATCAAGTAGGAAATGCTGTGCAGTGCTCCATACTTTCACTTTTTGCCCTCCAAACCAAATGACTCATAATTGTGTTTTCATCAAGGCAAAGTTCTGCCAAGCACATGAATCCCTTAAGGAACAAAAATTTAATTAGTCAGCGTGAGGCAAGGAGTGCAACAATATAAAAGGAATGGATTAACAAAGATTACAGCCAGGTTTCCAAACAATCATAACCAGCCATGACAAAGAAATAAAATGCTGCAGAAATTTAAAAAAAAATGTGATCATGCCCTTTCTGTGATGACAAACGCTATTAAAAACCAGATTACCTTTGTGTTGGTACAAATACTTCTAAAGGGTTTTCACAGCAGGGAAGATGGAGACTGGACATGGAAAGGAGAAAGCAGAAAGCAGAAAATTCATTTGCTATGGCCACTTGAAGCACAGAAGCTTTTCTCTGTTAAACTCTGTGGAAGAACACCTGTAGTAAGAAATTTGCTTGTTAACCCTGAAAAATATGTGAACAAAGCCACGGCAATATTTTAAACTGTGTTCTTTTATGAGAATAAAAAGCATCTGGCCTTCTCATGGTAAGTAGTACAGATTTCTTTCCTGACTGCAGTGAGAACATGCAGCAGCCCTTGGAAACCACACATCATCCACAAACTCAGGGAGGTGCATGCACCAGGGAAAACAAGGAATTACAAGAAAGGCTTCACTGTACAGAATGACTGGAAAGTATGTAACAGAATTCACTTAAGCCCTCACAAAAAGGAAAGCTTTGCAAACCTTTGAAACTGGTTAAGAATCTGTTGCTTGAGGCAGGCAACATATTTAAGACAGCATTTTCTGATAAAGATATGCTCAGCTACAGACTTTTACTTGCTGCAGAGCCATTTCCTCCTGATCCATCTTATGACACAAGAGACACATTTTTGTATGCTGCTCTTTGTTACACCATGATTTAACACAGCAGGCAGCCTCACTCATTCACTCACTCACTCTCTCACTCCTCACTCACTCTCTCCCCAGTGAAATGGGAGAGGTAATCAGAAAAGTAAAGTGAGAAAACTCATGGGTTGAGATAAAGATGTTTTAATAGGTAAAGCAAAACCCAAGGGCACAAGCCAAGGCAAAATGAAGAATTCATTCACCAATTCCCATGAGCAGGCAGCTGTACAGCCATGCCCAGGAAAGCAAAGTTCCATCATGCTGACTTCAGAAGACAAACACCACACTCCAAACATATTTTTTTTTTCTCCTTCTTCCTCCAGCTTTATATGCTGAGCCCCACACCATATGGTAAGGTATATCTTTTGGGTCAGTTGGGGTCAGCTGTCCTGGCTGTGTCCCCTTTCAACTTCTTGTGCAGCCCCAGCCTCCTTGCTGGTGGGGTGAGGTGAGACTTCAAATCATGTCCTCCCTTGCTTGGACAAGGGGAACAGATCAGGTAGATTATGGGGGTTTTCCAGCCTTTTAAATGTTTTTGGAATATAGAGCAAGAATATAGAAATATTCTATAGAAATAGAATATATAGGAATATAGAAAGGAATATAGAGCAAGCTACTTGTTTGCACCACCAGTAGGTCAATCTTGAAAACCAGGTCTCCCAACCTTAGTTTCTGTTTGGAATATCTTATTTGATCTATCAGGGCTTTTTCAGTCTTCTGGGATTTTTTTTGGTAAAGAGAAAGGTTCCTTTTGAAACCTAATGGTCATAACACAAGGTCTATTGTTCTTCGTGTAGAAATTTTTAATATTGGAATAATTTTGTCTTGAACGTGCATCTTGGGAAAGCCAGTTTGTGCTTTATTATTTTATTCTATGTGAGTAAAGGCTGGGTTTTGGTAGAACTATTACCAATTGTGTTTCATAAGTAGAATATTTGTGAAGATATAAAGATTGTCCAGGTTGAAAAATCTACTATAGTGTAACCCCTTGGACTAAAATCTTTCAGAGCTGTGTAAATATTGTAAATATTTCAGGCATTTACGTGATGTATCCCATAGTTAAAATCAGAATATAAAAAGAAGGAGGATGTCCTATTTTCATGCAGGTAACAGTGTCCCTGCCACAGACAGCTCAGTGAAGTGGTGGTTAATAGCTGACACCAGGTTGTGCAATAAACATTTTAACAAATGACTAGTTTGAAATGCACAGTACACATTTCAAATATCAGTTGTGATTATAATTTTGTAAATAATTCATCCTACTGGGCTTGAGGGAGGATCATTTCAGAGTACTTTGCAAGCCTATTGAAATTGGCAACTGATAGGCTTGCCTAACTCCTGGGAGGTGTCTCAAAGTGTCAAGATGCTGTCAGAAGGCAATTTAAATATCATGGGGCTGAGTTACCATGCCAAGGGGAAAGAAAACCAAGGTGTGTGTTTAGTGATGTGCTGTGCCCTCAATACCCGAGCCCACAGGACTTTCTGGACACCACCATGGGAAAGGAGGATCCTGCAGCCTTGCCCTGGGACCTACTCAGCCACTTCTTCTGGGACCTGCCACCTTGGGTGTATCCCAGTGGGATCGCTGCTTGATGTCTCATCCCCAGACTGGGAGCTGCCACCCTTGGTGTTACACACCAAGGATGCATCCCAAGGACTGCACTGTGTGGAGCTGTGCACTGTAAATTTGGGAAAGTCACTCATGGCCTTGTGTCGCAGTGATAAAAAAGGGAGTGTACAACGATGTCTCATCCCCAGACTGGGAGCTGCCACCCTTGGTGTTACACACCAAGGATGCACCCCAAGGACTGCACTGTGTGGAGCTGTGCACTGTGTAAATTTGGGAAAGTCACTCATGGTCTTGTGTCACAGTGATAAAAAAGGGAGTGTACAATGTATGGAGCTTCAATAGCAGCTGGAAAGAATGAAAAACTGGGTTAGAAGACCCAGGAAGGAATAGCTGCTATCCCACATCCACCTGGTTGTAGAGATTATAAAAACTTTGAAGGACTTTTATTCAGGGATTGGGAAGAAGGTAATTTATTGTCTTGTAAAATTTCTACAAAGGTATGCCACAATGCAGTGTGGGTTATCCTTCTCCCTTCCTTCCCTCCCTTCCCAGAGAGGGCCACCTCCCACATAATTGGAAGAGAAGCCAGAACCTGCTCACTGTGGGTGCTGAGGGTAACACAGGACTTAATTGCTTGGGAAAGATTAACTAGGTGAGCTTTCCAGCCCAGCCACTAAGCTCATATGACCAGAAGCCTTTTCACATGGTGGGGAAATTGTATTTTGTGTAGTCCAAACAGAGTGGTTCTGAACCTTATGGTTTCTGCTAAAGAAACCATGCCCGATGAAGCTAAACTTTTTACTTCACCTGTCACAGCGATGCCTGTCAAAACACGTAACCTGGCAAGTCTGGAGAACTCCTCACTATGTGTAAATCAATTGCAGGGTTGAGCAGATACAAAGAGAATGTCAATTCCTTGAAATTCTGTGCTTTTAACCCAGAAACACTGACAGGGCTTGGTGCCAGGTCTTAAATCAGCTGACAGGCAATAATAAGCAACAATCTAGCTCCACTGACACCTTTCAAGGCTGATGATCTAATGAACTGCAGAGATGTCATTTAAGGATAAGGATATCTTCCTGAAAAGCACAAGCTGAAAACAAGCAGGATGGAAAGTGCTGTAACACACTCTTGAGCAAAACCAAAGCCCAGTGATATAACAGGAACATCTGGGTAAAGAAACAGGTGTCACTGAAATATTTTTGGGCTCCCTAACACTGATCTTCAAACGGAAAGCTTAGTAGCTGCAAGGATACGCATAGGACTTATTTCCAACAATTCATCCACAATGGTGTATCTGTGGGTTTTTGAAGGTGTTATCCCCAACTGTAAGAATGCAATGATCTTGGTGATTATTTATGAGTGAGGAGAGATTTATTCCAGGAGAGTCTTCTGGTGCCCTCAGCAATTTTCATGCACTTGTTGTTTTCCCCATGGCAGAGCACCATCACAGAAGAAGAAGTTCAGAGGATGAAGGAGCAATTCATGTCTGTTTATGATGTCACCACAGATGGACGCTTGCAAATCCAGGAGGTATCTCTGCCCAACTCCAGCCCAAGATTTCTTTTATACAAGGATGGAGAACTAGAAGACTTTTTATAGGGTCTGTAGGAGTAGGAAAAGGGGTAATGGTTTTAAACTGAAAGGGGGTAGATTAAGACTAGATTAAGGAAGACTTTTTTTTAAATGAGGGTGGTGAAGTACTGGAAGGGGTTGCCCAGGGAGCTGGTTAATGCCCCATCCCTGGAAACATCAAAAGTCAGGTTGGATGGAGCTCTGAACAACCTGATCTAGTTGAAGATGTGTCTGGCCATTGCAGGGAAGTTGGATTGGATGGCCTTAAAAGTCCCTTCCAACCCAAACCATTCTTTGATTAAGACCTGTGGCAAACTTGGGAGATCTGGAAGATAGAACCTGGGTGCAGAGGAGGTGACCCACAGAGTATTACATTGGCCAGATCCTTTGGTCTGGAGTTTATTTCCAAGTTTATTTCCATGCCAAACCTGTATTTCACATATTGGATCAGTAGCTGCCCAAGTTTTTTCCTTTCTTTACTTTCATGGTGTGGGTTGGTTTTTTGTTGTGGGGATTTTTTAAAATGTTTTTCAATCCAGCTTGCAAATATGATGTTGCCGGATGATGAGAATTTCCTACTGCTTTTCCGACGGGAAACTCCCTTGGACAACAGCGTGGAATTCATGCGGGTCTGTATCTCCACACTGCCTCCTCCCCCTTGCACACCACCAGCTCCTTGAGCACCAACCCTTTTGTCCCCTGTAAAATGCAGCTTGGGAAATAGATGGGTATTGTGGAAGCAAAACATGTTCTGACCTGTTCAAGTAAAGAAGGTTTTACGTTATTTACACCAGCGAAACAGAGGTGTGGTATCTAGGACTGGACCAAGGGTACCCAGAGAACTCGCTACTTTTCACAAACACTCTCAGCCACCTATCAGTCATGCCACTACAGACAAAATGTCCCCACTCATCAGTTCACCCCTGCAGCTCCTCACCTGCAATGCAGTATAGACCAAGACAAAGAGCAGGTACATTTTAAGCCCCATTTTATCCTGAAACATTAGACTGTTAGGGCATGGAGAGGAAATGTCCATAAGTTGGGTCAATAAGCCCACAGAACTTCGCCCAATCTTCCTCTCATCTCTGCCTCTAAGTATCCCAACAGGGAATTTCAGTTTTTTCCAAAATCTTATGCAGATACTTTTATTTCACATACAAGCTAGGGGCTTCTACAGATCAAGGACCTGTTGTATATGGCCTTGACTCAGAGCAATAAAATAAGCTGCATGTACAAATTAGGTAAGAAATGCAAAACAGTTTCTTAGTATTTTCTTCCTTTTATAGACAGTGTGTCTGCATTAAACATGTGATAGCAGCATGTAGCATGTACAGCATCCAAGTGTGAGTAAGAGCTATTGTGTGAAAAGTTTATTTAATCTAAAATTAATTAAATGTTGGCTAATGCAACAACTTGCTCATTATGGAAGTTCTGCTTTGAATCGTTACAATCTATCACAGAGCAGATGAGTAACTGCCGTATTTATGTGCTCACATCAATCTATCCCCGTTCAGATCTGGCGCAGTTACGATGCTGACAGCAGTGGATTTATTTCAGCTGGTGAACTCAAAGTAAGTTATTCTAACAAATCTCTTCGGGCTTGACCTCACTGATGTCAATGGGAGCCCTTCCATCGGCTTTACCAATTTGCTGTCTTTTTGTGTGAGTGACAAATGGCATTTCTGGGTTGTTCCTAGGTAGTTTGAGGACTTGTGCCTTCTGGCATGGTGGAGGGAGGATGGTTTGCTCCTGCTTGCCACTAGCCTTGTGCCATGACCCCAGTTGTCTTGGTGACCTGAGGTATCCAGTGAGCCCCACAAGGCTTTGCACATGTGCTTCTCCCAGCTAAACAGAGCCAAAGCCATTGTGTTTTATTAAGGGAATTTCTTCACAATCTCTTCCTGAACTTGCAGGTTTTCTGAACACTGATTTCTCATTAAAGCTCAGGCTATTGAGGCAAGAGCCTGTTCAGAAACCATAATTCAAACACTTTGAGCCAGCAGTCAAAAAAGTCCATCCCTGCGCTGTACATCATGTGCTGAAGTCTCAGTGTGTGGCCTCAGCCTGTGTCCCAGCAAAGATGTTAGAGGAGGCATGAGTGTTTTACTGAATGCAAATATTTTTATTTGAGATCAATTAGCAAGTATTGCAGGACTTATGTTGTCTTTTGCTTATTTCATGAGTCTGTTAGGACTCGCTCCAGTATACCTATTCTGGGGAAATTTAGTTACTTTCTAATTTATTCAAAAAAACACCAAGTTTCAGCTAAAAAAATTTGAACTTTGTCAAACTGAAGACACTAGTACTAACCAGGAATGTGAAACTAGGTTTGTGTAACCTTGCTCAATTTGAATTTAATTTCCTACTGTTATTTCTTGAATTTCCACTAGAGAGTAAAATTTCTCTCTTTTCTTACTACAGGATTTCCTGCGAGATCTCTTTTTGCAGCATAACAAGATAGTTGCTGAGGTAAAGCTGGAAGAATATACTGATACTATGGTAAGAAAACATAGAATTAATGTTTTTTAGATCTGAGTACAGCCTAAAATCTCCTTTAGGGTCAAAGTCTGCAGGACCATGAAAGCCCTGCAAGGTGCTTAAAAGGTGTGTCAGAGATCCTTGGGGGTAGTTAGCATGCCCTGGTGCTAACAGTTTTTGGACTGGGAATCAGCTGTGAATGCATTTCAAATAGTTTTGCTGATAGTCAAAATATTTCCTCTGAGAAAAGAGCTCAACTTTATACCAAAGCAGGCTGAGCTCTAAACGCCTTTAAATACAGGTGAGGTGCATCCTTATTGAGGATATGTTCAGCCTCAGGCAGATCTCCAGCTCATTCACTTCCTCCTTCCCACTCTTCCTCCTAGCAAATCCTTTTACTCCCAAGACATGCAGGTATCTGGCTTTTCTGCTCTCAAAGCCCAGCAAGCCTTGCTGGCTCCCTGCTGCTTCCCTGAAAGACTGAGAGGTTGAAAGTTTCAATTCTCCACCTGGCTTATCACAATATAGCTTTTATACTGCAATCAACAACATAGTATTTGGTGTGGGTTTAGCATCAGTCACCTGGATTTCAGAGCAACTTATTATATCTAAACATCTAAAAACAAGAAGGGAAAAAAAATCTACTTTCTGGATGTCATTTTCAAGGGTATAATTTGAATTCCACTAGCAGACATCTATCACTGTAATTTTCTAAATGTCTTTCAGATGGGACTGCGTTGTTTCTTGACACAAAATCTGTGTTTGTACCTAAAAACCAGCTTGGTATGCAAGCAAACAAGGAGCTGCCTACATATTTTGCAATAACATGTTATGTATGTGTGATGTCTGTGTGCCCAGAAATGTGACCCTTTAGAGCAATGTGAGAAACTGTACTGTTATGGAAGAGTGTATATTTTGTTTTTCATATTTATAAGACAGTGAAGAGAGAGGAATGCCAGCTGCAGAAATTATTTTCCAACTGGCAGAGTTTGAAAGCAAAAAAAGCCCAGAAGTTACAGCTAAGACAAAAATATTTCTGGGAGCATTTGCTGGTAGCAAATATCTTTCATTCTGCTCCATTAAGATTTCCATCCCTGGTGCTTAATCTCTGATCAGGTGCTGGGGAATAGGTGATCTGAAGCTTGTAGACAATGGGTGGTTCATTTGCTCCAGCTAATTTCTCTTCCCTCTAATTTCCCAAGAAAGATCTGTGATTCTGCTGCCCCAATGCAGCTAGGTATCAATGCAGCCCAGGGCTGAGAGCCAGGAGATCTGGTTTCTATTCCCATGGTTTCTTGTAGAAGGGCTTTGTATCTCCAGACAGGCAGTTTAATCTCTATGTTGGAAGATGAGATTTGATATGGGAAAAGGGATGCTTTGTATATCTAGGGAAATTTATGATCTGAAATGCAAATTTGGCTCCTGAGGACAAAGGGTTGCCAAGCTGCAATGCCAAAAGACTCAGGGATGTTAATGGTTATTGGGAAATAAGAATATGGCAGATGATTAATTTTCACCTTGCAGTTCTTTTCTCTACTGAATATCAAGGATGTTTATAAACACATCTGGTCTCAAAAACTAAGGCAAGGTTTGACATTATCACTGCCATAATCTTATCCTGGAATAAAATAGAGGATGTGAATTCTGTATATAACAGCAAATTATCCACATGGGCAGTATCCTATAGCATCAGATGCACTCCACAAATGATTGCATAGGACGTTATCCGAAGTATCTATCTGAAGGCAAAATTCCAAGGAGGGAAGAAAGATTCAGCCTTGCATTTGCAGGGCTGGATTAAAGAGGGAAAAGTGACTCAAAGGTTTGATGTCAAGGCCCAGAGTAATGGCAACCCTTTACTTGAAGAAGAAGTGCCCTTCACTTCTTCTCTCTCCTTTCCCACATGGAGTGAGGAGCTGCTGGAGTGCAGAGTCCCACTGCCACTGGACTCTGCCACCATCACCACTGTTTGGGACAAATGGGTCAGTGGCCCATCCATTTTTTCCATGACTCTGTTATAACTTTGACAACCAGCAGCAGTGATTCCTTTTCTGCAGATTGGACATACTTACATTTCTCTCTCCTATTGCTTTGCTCCCACCCTTTTATATTTTTAGAGCACAAAGTCCTTGGGAGCAGGACCTGTTTCTACTTCACACAGCTATAGGGTCTCACAGGATAGCCCATCTATTCAGCTCAGGGCTTTCAAGGGCCAATGTAATTATTTTTCAGTTGAAATAAGCTGTGTCTCAAGGAGCTGTAAACCCATCTGTCTCCACAGGAATATACAGATTTCTGCCCTTTTTTCTGTACATGCACAGCTGCCTGCACACATCTTAAGCAGCTACTGGTATACTGAGTGGACCCTAGGGCCTTCTGGAGGTAGAGATAAAGGGGAAAAGGCAAAAATTGTAATTTAAAAGAAGCTAGCCCAGGCTTGAGGAAAAAAATTAAGGCAGCATTTTATGTTTCTGTGCTGGGTGTTTGCAGTTTGTGAGCAGATATCAACCAACCAGGGCATGTTAAATTCTTGCCCTTTGTGCTGTTATGAATGGTCTCATACGACATTAAAAAATGCTGGGAAGAGGGAGAGAGTATTTCATTTGGAAGAGATTGGTCATCTCTGGAAAGGAACATCATTTTATCAGGTTGCTTAGCAGCCACTTCTTAAGAGGCTATTCTGTTTCCTTATGACCTTGACATCCTTTCTTCAGAGAACACTGGTATAGATCAGGGATTTGATGAACAAGTGATGAACTCCTATAAAGACAACAGGTAGTGAACACACTGGCATTGCACAAACTCTGTGAGTCTGCTAAATCAAATCTTAAAAAGCACTAAATCCACTGGGGAAAATCACAGAAGAGCACTGCAGTTCTCAAGACTCTTCATGGGCGAATTGAAGTGGCAATGCTGTGGTAAGGAAGCCCCTTTGTAGGCACTGTTGTTTTTTTTTCTATGCCTACATAGATACATATTTGTATTAATAATAATGAATTTAGTGTGTATTAATAATTATTTACATGCACCCCCTTGCAGTTCTTAGTATTTGAAAACAATCTGTAGGTTTGTTGCCTTCCCACAGGCTGTTGGCAGGGAGCAAGTAGCTTGGAGGTTAATGTGAAGCCTGGTATTGTTCTGAACTTCCTGAGAAGAGACCCCAAGGGTCCTGCAGTGTGTACTTTGGGAGACAGAGTGAGCATAGCTGAAAATGGATGGAGGGTTTAAATAGCATGGTGAGAATTTTCTGCCTTCCTGAATTAGCACAAGCTGGAGAGATGAAGACTGCCCCCCTTGATACTTCATGGTGAGGATACTGTGGATGATGACAGTAGAACAACATTTTCAGTCCCTCCCACCTCCCCTCAGACCCCAAGATCAAGCTGTTAGTAGGTTTCTGGGTCCTGATGAAGTTTCAGCTCAGAAATACCTGTCTCACATATGCATTTGACAACAATTTTTAAGAGTGACAGGTTCCATTACCTGTGTATGCACTTAAGCAGAATATTGTAAATGCCAGGGTATGAACTAGATTTAAGATATGGTTTCTGATAGTCTGTAGATTCCCAGATAGCAGGATGCTACTTCTAGTTTGTAATGCAAATGTCTACAAGCTGCATGCAAGACAAGCTCATTTTTGAGTCAAATTTCAGCAATTTAAGTTGTTTATTTTGCTGAAGCAGTCACACATGCAACACTGACATTTACTTTTTTAATTGACTTATGTTGATTATGTCAGATGGAGCAAAAAAATTCCTTTAAACTGAGCATTATTATATCTCAGTAAAATGCAAAGGACAGTTCTTATCCAGCCAACATGCCATCTTTGCCCATCACAGGTTAATATTCTAGAGAGGCAGTGATGTAAATGCAGTGACTAATAACAAGTACTGGTCATGAATTACAGCATTTGAAAGCTTGTGGATGATGATGATGAGGATGAAATCTTAACCCCGGAGAAGTCAGAATAGATATTTTCCCCAGCTGTAATGACACCAGGGTTTTGCTGGGCTTATTTGCCAAGATTCTCCTGGGCACTGAGCTATGTGCCCCAAGTGCAGAAGCCTGCAGCTGAGGGCTCCTCATCTTCTCAGTGCAAAGTGGAAAAGGTTGTCTTCTCCCTGAGGATGATCTGTGTCCATGAGTATGCACTGTGGACTACCTTTATTGTGCATTGGGGGGATTTCCAGTGCTTTTGTGGCTGCTGCCTGTCCCCTCTGCAAGGATAGTGCCAGAGTTTCACTGTGGTCAGTTGTATGGCTGTGCAAGTCTGTCTGTGTTCAGTGCTGATGCCAATGTACTCACGTGAGAAAATAAAAGCCAAATTCAGGTGATTTAGACTCTTAACATCTTACTAGTCAAGGCAGCATATCTTTGTTAACAAAGTCTCCTGTGATCACTAAACAAAAGGTGTAATAATGGAAAGACAAATATTTACTGTATTGAAAAAAAGCCTAAACAGAATTTGTTATCTTTGTCAACACACCAAGCAAACTTCCCAAAGCTCTAGAAATACCATAGGAGTAGAGTGTAGCCTACAAGACTGGTTCCCAAAGTGCAGTCTATGGTCATCCCTTCTCCTCCTGGTAGTGGTCCATGCTGGCTTCTCTCCCAGGTGACTGAAAGGACCCACACAGCTGATGAACACAAATCTGCCTCCTGTGTCCCTTCTCAATTTAATGCCAGGGTGCTGTCATCTCCAGCACCACACTTGCTGTGGCATAAGCCAAGGGAGGCAGAAAATACAATTTAATCTCAAACTTCATTTCTGAAGATCAAAACCAACAGAAGTCAGGAGCCTGCAGGCTTCTGAACACCTTAACAGATAATGCCTTGATCTCTTAGGAATCAAATCACTCTTAGAAATCCTGTGCTAAAGAACTTGTTTATGTGACACAGGCAGTCTGGCTGGGCAGGACGCTGAGCTTTTGTCCTGAGGGTAACTTGCTGGCCACTGGGCTCTCCTGTCACTCTGCACATGCCTTTGTGATCCCATCCTTCCCTAAAGAAAGAGGCCATAGGCAGTCCTGCAGCTTGGGCTGATGCCTGTCTTTATACAGTCTCAATAACCTCTGTACTCCCTGGCTAACTTTTGTTTCAGCTGTTGGGCATAGGTGCCCGTGATATAGACATTAAAATATATTTGTGAGAGTAGGAGCTCAAGTAAAACTGACTCTCTTAGTGTCCCACTTAATTACACACAAAGAGACCCAGAGAAGGTATGAAAGCAGGTTTTATTGAGTCTGCTGATCACAGAACTATTTATTTTGGTTGTTTACTTCTTTCCTTATCTCTGTCATGGAAAATAATTCAGATTTATATTGCTCTTCAAAGAATGTGTGTGTTTGTCGCATTGTGGTGCTTCAGTGGCCTTTAGAACACTGGACTGAGAAAGCAGAAGTATCTCTTTTGCTGAATTAAAAGCTGATGGCAGTTTTAATTTTGCACTTTTAAAAAATGGAGATGTAACAACTTTTATTTGCAAACCAAGCTCTTACATATTCTCTGTCTGTCTCAGAGTGCTTCAGAGTACTTTCAAACAAACAGGGTGTGCCCTTGCTGCACTGCCATTAAAATGTCAGTGAATTAATTTGTGCAAACACTTTAAAACATGGGGTAGTTTGACAGTAATGGAAATGCATCATTTTATAAAGCATACTGCTAGATGCAACAGAGCCTTTAGTAAATTTGAGTGCTATTTAAACATGCGAGACCTTGTCCTAAACCACATTGAGATGTTTCATATCAACCTGGCAGTGTAAATATACCTTTCATGAGAGTAAACTGAAAATCCATCAAATTTAATATATCAAGATGATGTGTGAAGGCAAAAGTTTAAATTAGAAACAACTTCATAACCATTTCAATTATCTCCTTCTCCCATTATGTATGCTTTGTCATATGGGTACACAAAGAATGACCCTCTGTCATTCTTTGTGTACTCAGGCACAGAATTAGCAGATCAGATCAAACACTCACATGCTTGAAACTTGAAATTTCGATTAAAAAACATTTCCCCAGGCTGTTCCCCGAGTAATGCAGCACGCGACTGCCATGTAGTGGGTATGCATGAGCTCCACTTGTCCCAATAACAGGATTAGGTCTATCTTATTAGCTGTGGTACCTGAACTAATTCAGTGAACACCAGCCCTTCTTCCCTCCATGTTTTCCATATTTCATGTGTTAGTCACTGGGCAAGAATTAGCTTGGCGTAGTTCTTCCAGCCAGACTTTTTTTCTTTCTGTCGACTGGTATGGATGATCAAAATATTGCTTGTGTTTGATAATTGTATTCAGGGCAGTTGTGGCAGAAAAAGGCCAAACAGATAGAAAACACAAAGGTTCTCTCTTACAGAGCTGAGTGAAGGAGGTCAGGGAGGGGAGCTGGTTAGCTGTTAGTAGATGTGGTCATTCACTGAAATTTCAATATCAAGCTGAAAGATAGGGTGCAGGAGAAGAATGTTTCCTTTCATTAAGAAATCCACCAAGGAGTTTGTTACCTCTCTATTAAATGTGTTTTTCTGAATCTGTACTGCTGCAGGAATATTGTAAAGGGCTCAGAAATTGGTAGGATTGAAAACCATGTGCTCACAAAATTGATAATGAAGCAGAAAGCCTTTCTCATCTAAACCACCATCTCTCATCTAGTCTGTTTCATTAAGAGTGCACAAAATTCTCCCTCGTTATTTGCGACTTCTGAAACCATGAAAATATGATGCACCCACAAAGTAGAGCAGTTGCAGGGCAGGTGGGATACATGAAGTCCCAAGGCAAGGACAGCAATGCTGGGATTCTTATGTATTTATGCCCTGGAAAAGAACATGAGGCTGAAGATGTTTCACTGGAAAAGAATCATGAGACTTGCACCAGGCAAGCCTATGTGAAATGAGAATTGTGCCCCAAGTCTGGCTCTTGGACAGAAAACCTCCAGTTCTGTTATGGTCCCATAAGCTCATATGGAGATTAGGACATGGTGATCACAGAGTTGAACTTCTCCCTGAAAAACTCAGTGTTTGCTTTTCTGAGGCATCACAGAGAGAAAAAACACATCTGAATTTGAAGTCTAGGCTGAAGCACTGAATTTTAGTCTCAAGACAGTAATTCTGAAATGCAGCAGAAATGGGAGAAAATAGAACACACTTTGAGGAGCTCAGAAACGTGGAGAATCCAAGTGAAGTACTAAGACTACTAAAGGCAGTATGTTTTAGTGTGTTTTGCTAAAGATACTGTATTTTTATATGAACCAAAGACCAGTGCCTTCAGCCAGAGCTGCCCTGACCTGGCAGAAGAGTTCCTGAAATCTGGGCCCTGTGTTTCCCGCCAAAAAATGTCCTTTCCCAGCAAATGCTGTTCTGTCTCACCCCCCCAGCTGCACTGCTTTGTGGTGACCTACAGACCATGTAGGTAACTAATGCTCCTTGGTGGCCTAAATCAAAGGATTTAGAGTGGCATTTTCGAAAGCACTGAAGTTACTGTAGAGCCCTCGTGGAATACCATAAGGACTATGGTATTCCCACCACCCACATGCTGGTACTTTCTCTAGCCAGCTACATAGGGGTTGTCTCCATAAGCTTCCTTTAGGCAGCATATTTTACAGCAATGATGTAAGCTGGATGTAGCAATGTCACCAGTGGTGGAGAGTATGCCATAGCAAAGTAGAAGGGGTATTTCTCCTCAAAGAACAGACAAAATCAGGTTAGGCATTGTTGTTCCATTTGGAGAGAGGCTTTTAAAATGTTATCTGGGCTTACTTGTTTCTAGAAAGAATATTAATCATTTTCTATGACCTGCAGAATAACTCCTTTATCAGCTAAGACTTGAAGGCTCGGGTTTATCTCTCTGATGGCAGTGGGAGGCTGTCATTGCAAGGACATTTCTCCCCTTGGTGGCACCAGCAAAGGGAGCTTCTGCTCCCATCCCTTCCTCTAGCCGTGTCCTACTGCTGCTCCAGCAGAGACCAGGGAAAAGTTCCATATTGCTGTGAGAGATCTAATGGGGCAGGAAGCAGCATGCAAGAAATTAGATCAGCTGGAAGGGAACAACTTGGACTGATGCAACCAGGGGGATGTCCTCAGGATGGCCTGGCAGCTTTATTTGTCTCCCCAGTTCTAGAGTTCAGAAGTCTTTCCTCTGTCGTTTAGTGGCTCTGCACAGAGCATATGTTTGGCAGAGGGCAGTTAAATGGAAAAATAGCTTTCTTTGTGCCACTGAACACCCACATGGTTCCAAATTGTGATGCCATTTTTCCAAATATCTCAATATGGGCCTTCAATCATTCGTAGGACTTTCATGCTCTCTTTCAATGGGAGGAAAAGTGAGCCCATACCAATGCCTCATCAAAAATTCCACTCAAATCTCACAAGTGTGAAATACTCAGAATAATTAATGGTACAGAGTCTGTTGCAGAATCTCAGTCTAAATGTGCTACAGTAAAGGGTTACTATGGACTTGCTTCCTTGTTCCCCTTGAGCAATGGGCAGGGAAGAGGCAGCACTGACAAAACAGGCAAAATCTCCCTGAGAAATGGCAGCTCTCCAGATGCTACTTTTTCTCACGTGATTATTAGGCTCTGCCCTGGCTCCACTGCTGAGAAGTGCTCAGGACATGCTGCTGGCTCCCATGTGTTCAGGCTATGTCATAGGGGATAATCCCGTCCATCTGAGCTGTGTCAGATGGGGCTGGTTCAGGCCTTCCTCACCAGCTGTGCAGTGCACAAAAGATCTGTAGTGAACCAATTACTCTGCACAGCCAGTAAACAAGCAAATGTGATCTATTAAGGTAAGATTAATGCATATTCCTTAGCTGAGCATTTGACAAAGAAAGATAATATGTCATAGTAAAATGTTCATGTTCCCTCCACACACAATGTGGATTTTTTTATTTTTTTCTAGAACTTTGAGCCATGAGATATTCAGGTTTGCAACTCATTAAACATCCCCCCCACCCCCTTCTTTGTAACAGTCCATTTTTTGTGCCTTGAAGAGAAATGGAGAACCAAAAACCGAAAATAAATTGGTTTTTTTTCTGTGATGGCTCATCAAAATTATGCTATTCAGTAAAAGAAAAGAATAAGTTTTGAAATCACATTTAACCTCTTGATGTTGGTAGCCTGAACCTTCTTCCGAGTCTTAGTCCATTCTAGCAGCAGGCCTTGAGCCAAGCAAACCCCACAGCTGTAGTGGTGTAAAATCCTGACCTGAGTGGTGATTAGAAGGTGGCATTTGCACCTCAGCCTCTCAGAAGCCACAGCAGCAGTCAAAGGTAAGGATGGAGTCCAGGTGGAAGTGTTTAGAAATTTCTCCCTTTTTCTGGCTTTCTTTTTTTTTTTTTCAGGACCAGGGCAATGTCAGTATTTAGTTTCTGAATGTCTTTCCTGCAGACTTGCTTTATCCCCATGTAAGGTGGGAAGGGAGAGGTACTGCTATTTGATTGATTTGGGTTGCTGCTGTCAGAAAGCTGGCTGGTTTTGCTATTCCCTTGTGCCACCCTTGCACTTGGTGCTAACACAGGATGCCATGCTTCCCAGGGTCTGGGCAAGCACCCTGAGCAAGCAGAGGGAAGGGCACAGGGCAGAGAAAAATATATATTGCCCTTTTTTATATATGTGTGTGTGTTCTACTTATGGCCCATGTGCTTTATCTCTGTCTTCTTGATTTATAGATGAAAATCTTTGACAAAAACAAAGATGGAAGACTGGACCTGAATGACCTGGCAAGGTAGGATTTAATAATGTTGATGGGGTGCTTCAGCTCACAATGGTCAATCCATGCAAGGTGATCCTCTCCCTCTAGGCATGTGCAGTTGAATTCTACCAGCTTTTGAATTAGATCTGCTCTGATCCCACCTCTCCAACGCATGATCCCCATTGCAATAATCTGAGAATCTAGAGCCAGGGATAGGAGCAATGCCAGGGTATGTCTGTACAACATCAATGTGCTCTGGCATAATCGGAGGTGCTTCCCAGGAGGTGGCAAAAAAACCCATGGCTCTGTTTCTCCAAAAGAAGGATGACAATCCTTTCAACAGGGTTACAGACATGCATTTATTTTTCATCATTATGTGCAGCAGAAATTGCAAAGAATTTATACTGCATTTTGAATAATGAAAATGCCACCACAAAAGTGTGTGGCAGTGGCAGTAGGAAAGGATTTGGAGTGCCATAGTGAGATGCTTGTGAATAAAGCTGGGGACTCAGTCATGGGCCTCTGTCTCCTTTCTGTCCCTGATTCCTCAGAGGCTTTTAGATTATTTTCACTGCCTAGAGATAGAGAGCATGCCTCTCTCTGTACAACTATGTGCATTGGTTAGATAGGACTTTAAATTTGCAGATACAATCTTAGAGGGCCAGTTTAGAGGGTGAGGGGACAGAGGTCTGGTTTGCCACTGTAACTCTCTGCTTGGAATCCTGACAAATGCCAGCACAAATAACTGCAGTGCATGCAGCAGTTCCCTTTGACTATGAATATAGGAGGAGAATCTGGGGCAGGATGGAGGATATCTAAAGGGGGTTGTTGTTACAATTTTCTCTTAAATACAGTTCCCTTTTGGGAACCAGGCCATCTGAGGCTCTCCTCCAATCTGAAAACATTTCTCAGACTCCAAATCCCTCCATGGGCAGACACAGCTCATCATGCCCTGTGCCATGGGCTCTAAAAACTTTGGGGTTAGCAGAGCAGTTGAAGAGAGAAAAGGTTTTATTAGTGCTTTACAGGGTTTAGGAGATGAAAAGAGAGAAATTCTGCCAGTCTTGATGCACAGGCCAGCATTACTTTGTCTTTTACTTTTACAACCACCAAATCCTCCCTCCAAGAGAGAGCCATAAATCACTTTCTTTAATGCAGCACAGCAGCCCAGTTACAAGGAATGATTGTCTGATAACACTTGCTTCAGAAGCTGACACCCTCTGTTGTGCAGGACCACCAGAAATGCTCCGGGAGAAGCAATGGTGCTAATAGGCATGTCTGTGATGAACCAAAGGGCACTCTCTGTGCCCAATCAGACAGGGAGGAAGGCATGTGTTCCCACAACAGCCCTCTGTAAATAACCCCACAGGCAATTTTCTCTTTTATAGGCCTTTAATCTAACATCCCTTTGCTTTGCAAACAAGGAGAGCTCAGAATAGGTCATGTGCAGATGATAAAGCAAAAAGATCATAATTAAAATCTTTCCATTCAGGATTCTGGCACTCCAGGAAAATTTCCTTCTACAGTTCAAGATGGATGTAAGTAGCACTAATTTTTGATACATTCATCCTGTCTCCAGCTAAGATGACCTGGGCCCAAACTTGAAATTTTTGCTTTAATTTTTCTTTGTTTGTCCTCTCTGTATGCAGGCTTGCAGCACAGAAGAAAGGAGAAGAGATTTTGAGAAGATCTTTTCACACTATGACGTTGTGAGTCCCATGAGTCAGTTCATTCCCTTGCTGTTTGTAAATGACAGAGTTAGCATGCGCTGCTGAGACTTCTTCCTCCTGCTGGGTGCTGCTGGAGTCACTGAGGACCAGCAGTTGTGCCCAAGCCCATGGCTCATGAGCCCAGATGCCAGACTGGGAGGGGTAAGGTAGGGACAGAGAGGAGCTATGCTCAGAGATCTTGTGTCAAGGACCCATTTTGACTTTCTCCATTGCTGTGGCCATTGCTGCTGCATTAGCAGTTTCCCTGCAGGAGATGCAAGGGAAGAAGAGGAAGGTGGTGGCTTTAGCGCTCACAGTCTCTGGCAATTCAGGACCTGCATCACCATCGTGTTGAAAAATAAACCCCCTTCCCATATGAAATCCATGGTTGTTTAGGGAGTCTGGCTCAGGACAGATGTAACCATTTAACTGCGTGTTAGACATCAGCAATTCAGTCCTGCTTCTGGCAGTCAGAACTCCCTCAGGATGGTGGGAGACATTTCTCCCACTTGGTGGGAAGAGATGGTTTGGGAAAAACAATGGGATCTTAGACATTAGGTATTGGGAAGAAATTTTTTACTGTGAGGGTCTTGAAGTGCTGAAACAGGTTAGCCCAGAGAAGCTGTGGATTACCCAACCCTGGAAGTGTTCAAGGCCAGGTTGGATGGGGCTTTGAGCAACCTGGGCTAGTAGAAGGTGTCCCTGGCCATGGTGGAATGGTTGAAATTGGATGATCTTTAATGTTCCTTCTAACCCAAACCGTTTCATGATTCTGTGAACTTTATGCTAGAAAGCTTGGTGACAAGGTATTGGTACTCACCAGTAAACACTGTAGTGGTTTTGACTCACTGGGGAGTTTTGATGTCTATTCCTTCTTTCAGAGTAAAACAGGAGCGCTTGAAGGCCCAGAAGTGGATGGATTTGTCAAAGACATGATGGAACTGGTCAAGGTATCTTCATGGCTCTGTTTGTTAATACTCTGTATTTCTTAAAGATCAGTGCTTTTGAAGAGGCTATGTTCACAGAGACAGTAGTAAGAACATAGAGAAAAATTTTAGTTTGATCATCAGCAGAAGGCAATGTCACCATCTCACTATGTATACTGTAAAGCATTTCACCATGTCACAGAAATTCTGCCTCACAAATTAATACAGCTTCCCACGGGAACTCTGTTTTTAAAAGGTCCATTCTAGTTCATACTTTGAATTAGGCAGGCATTACAACATGACATGATATGGATGGGTCATCACAATTTCTTTCTTCTGTTTTCCTTGTGAATGTGGTTCTCACCAGAATGACCTCATGGTTCATAAGTTCATCTCAGGGCTACAACTGAAAATTGCTTGAGGTCTGTCTGCAGTCAAGAATACCATACCCAGTGTGTCTCTTCAGCTCCTGATGGACAGAAGAGTCTGTCTTCATTGGATTATCTCAAGTTTCCAGATGCAGTCCAAGATAGAGCTTTTGACCCAAATAGAATCTGATCTTTAGCTTCCTCTGAGCCTGAACTGTTGCATTTCCACACAGTGTGGGATATCTGTGCTGCCATGTCTATTCAGGAGAGAGCAGAGAATGGCAGCTCTGTGCTGATGGCTGTGTGTGTGTGTTCTGGCCATGCAGTGTGCAGGGAAGGGTGTGGGGATAGGCAGGATGCTGGATTTGTGTGGCTATGTGTGAGTGTGTGTAAAGAAGGAAAATTTGTACTTTACCTAAGGGCCTTCATCAGCATTGCCCTTGGACACCACAATCTGTGCATGTGAATTTGATCCCCTCCTGAGAATGTGGGAAGCAGAGCAAGCAGTACAGCATTAGGAGCATACAGACACTGTGTAGCCTGTAAAATGTGTCTTCAACATGGACTTGATCGACAAAAGGTATTTTTTCATTGCTGACTAGCCTGTAAAAGGCTAACAGTAAGCTGACAGTAATGTCACATTAGTCCTTACACAGCAGGTTTGAGAGAGGAAACCAGATGAAAGCACAGGTCTGGGAGAGCAGGGATCTGCATTGCACAACTTTCTGAAGTTTTCTTTTACATGGATCAGATACTGATGGCCTTGGCTGAGCACAAAAGTCATGGTGTATTTCCATACAGTCGCTTACAGTTCCATGCACCTTCTGCTTTTTCAGGGCACCCTTTCCCCATCTTCTCTTCACTTCCCCATGACATATGAGATATGGGGCCTTTTGGTCACTCTTCCTTGGGTGAATTTCCCAGTTGCTGCATGGTGGGCTGCTTTACTATCTGGGGAAATCCAGAGTAATTTTCTCTCTCAGCATCCTTTTTCTCTTTGCCTGCAGCCCAGCATTAGTGGGGTAGACCTGGACAAGTTCCGCCAGATCCTGCTCAACCACTGCGATGTGAACAAGGATGGGAAAATTCAGAAATCTGAACTAGCTTTGTGTCTCGGGCTGAAAATTAACCCATAGCTGGGAAAGTACTTGTGGTTGTGTTTCCCTTTAAAGATTTGCCTGCTGCTCCTTGTAGAAGTGTGTTCTGTGCTGCTGTGGGAGTGGTGGGGAGCTGAGGCACCATGCTGCCAGGCTGGAGAGTGGGATTTGCACGGCGGCCTCCTCATTCCACCAACTCCTTTGTGATGTTCGCTTGCTTCTGCCTCTTGTGGGTCCCCTTAGCAATGTCTGCCCATCAGCAGATGAGCTACTCAGAGGACAGCTTGCTGTTCTTCTGGCCTCATGAAATACTGCTCTGTCCATTCTCCTAGGATAGGAAAAAGCATCTCCTCAAAAACATCCCCTCAGTGCTTTCAGAGTGCAGCTACTAGGTGTTTCTGATGGTCACTTTATATGTGGAAGTCAATACTTTGATGAACATTGTGCCTTGTGCATTTAAAATATTGGATGGATGACAGTGTATTTGTGCAGAAATAAAATGGCAATTACAAAAATTCAGTAACATCAAAGTTTGTGTTATGTAAAGAAAGCCGTCTGCCACAGGCTGGCAGACTGTACACAGTAGCCTTTTATGTAGCATGCATCAAATGGCAAGAGGTTTTGTGATACCTGTCAGTTGTGGGGTTTAAATCTGCAATGAAACGTGGTAGATCCTTCCCATGGGAAAACCACACACACCATGTGTGGTTTATGTGTCTCCCTCAGGATGAAGCCACAGAGTAACATCACTTCTGGAGGACACTTCTGACCCAAACTGAAATAACCTACAAGGTTTCAATAAACTGGAAAACTGAATGAGAGCAAAGCTCCTACATGTGCATGTTTTTCTTTTCAAATCTGTTGGAGTTGGTAGATGCTTGTCACCCTTTTTGAACCTAAAGCTTCCTATCACTCCTGGACCATGAGTGTAGTCCCAGAGCCCAATGGCAACAGCATCCTTTGTGCCACATATTTCCCTACTCCAAAGGCTTTGTCTGAATATTCAGAAAGTGTCATGCCCATGTTATCATGCCCAAATAGTTCTTTCTTCATTTCCCAAGAGAAAATTGTGAAGTAGGGATTGTTGGCAAAAATTCCTCACATTTCACAATTTCTGTCTCTAACATAGGACAGACCCACACCTGACACTACTAGGGCCTTTCTGGTTATGTTTTTTGCGCCAGGAAGCACAATGAAACATTCCCATTATATTCAGTTTTGTAAAAATTAATCAGAGATTGCCTTCAATCAACATGAATAGAGGTGTTAACATGGATTACATAAAGCTCTTAAGAACATATTCAAATTATGCTTATTTTCTATTTTGATTGATGATAATCTCACAGACCAAATAAGTGCTAAATACTTGTTTAACCCCAGCACAGAGCTAGGCCTTTAAATTCTGAAACGGCTTTTTATCACCCTGGCAGCAACACAAATCACAACCACAATAACAGAGCTTTACAATGGTTCAAAAAAACCATAAATAAGGAATCAGGCCTTAGCATTAACTCCTCAAGCCAGCAGGGTTGCAGTTTTACTCGTGAATGCTCACACCTCTCTAAGGGAAGAGCTGTGGTCAGGAGTGCAGGACCACCAGCAGAGAAATCCCCCACACTGCTGTTTATGCTTTATCACAGTCTTTGAACAGCTTGTAACAAATCTAGCAGAGTAAAACAACTATTGTTTTATTCTACCTCAAATAGGATGTGACTGATCAGAATAAAAAGTTATGCCTTTAGGTATATTCTTCTTTTCTCTCTTCCTTCAGTCTATGTAATTCTAATTGTTATTCTTCTTTTCCTAAACTACAGTTTTTATTCCTTTGGATGTGGGAGATATTTATGTACCATCCCCTTTGATATATTTCCATATTCCAAGATGTAGGTTCTTTTTTCTCTTTGTATTTCCCAGTGATGGCAGGTCTATTTTTTCCCTCCTCTGTTTAATCCTACTTATATGAGTAGAACTGTTTCTTATTTATTGAAGTATAAATTGAAGCATATCCTGTCCTGCCTCACCAAAACTACAGCAACTCTTAACCTAAAGGGAAAATTTCTTTTTAAAGACTAGATACAACCACAGGTCTCATTTCAAGAATTATAAAACACTTCCTCTTTATTAAAACCCTATGCTTTTCACATCCTCTACAGTTAATAGTTTTTATTCAACAGACACTGAGCAGTAATGAATCTGTGATGTCAGTGTCGTAATGTGCTTTGCTTCTTTTGTACAAGTCTGGGACTTATTTTTTTAAAATACTGATTTTGACACAGGCTTCATACAACTACTTTTACTAGTTTCTAATAAGTGAGTGCATAGGCTCCAGTAGGTGAGTTTAAAAGAGCATTTTACAAAACATTAGCAAGAAGTAATTTGTAATAATAGATTACAAGGTTATATATAGAACTCAGAGAATGAGATTTTTTTTTTCTTTTTTTTTAGTTAGTTAGTTTTCTCATTCCCACAAAAGTTTGGTTTTTTATTGTGTCCTGGCCAGAAACCAGAGAGCAGGAAGACAGACCCACCTGCTGTCTTTGTGCAAGGACCATAAGGGAGTGCCGTGTCCCAGTGGGACTGCAGCCTCGGTGAGCTGCAGATCCCCTCTAAGCAAAACAGAATGTGAGGTGCAATGGGATTTGAGCCCACATTGCAAAGGGCAGCAAGGCAATCACTAATGAGACATAATTTTATAAACCTGTAGCCTCTGAAAGTCAACATTAAGGCAGGACACAGACATTTTAAGACTTCTTGCAGACTTCTTGCTCTGTTCATTGCAGAGCTTTTTTTTTTTGTTTTCCTTTTTTATTTTTTAAATTATTTTCACTTCAATAACAAATTATATACGAGGTCCTTTGGTCTCAGCCTCTGGTAATATCAACCTTTTAGGTTCCTGTAGATTTAAAGCTGGGCAATGCATCTGATAAAGTATACCTGTTTTCATTTTGCAAATTTGAAGGGTACTTCTATGTACTCCTATGTACAAAATACGAGATAATATTTCACATTTAAAGGGTTGCAATAAAAATACTTGTTTTGCATTAGATATATGAAAGCAGCAACAATTTCTGTGATTATCACTCAATTTTTAGGAGGCTACATCATCATAACTAGTATTTGAAATCAGAAAGTGAATTTGCAAATATAGTTTTCCCTTGGTATTTTCATGGTTTTCCATCATTGTGAAACTCAACACACTCTTTGCTTGTTCCAAACCATCATCATGGGGACTTGTCACTGGAGGCCTCCATTTTCCTGAGTCAGCCTCAAAACCCCAAATGGCTCAAGTGCCAGTTGTTCCTTGGTCTGTGCAATTTTCCCCCCAAAAAATGAACCCACATATACATGCTTACCTCATTCCCCAGTCTGAACACATTCCAGCAATCTCACATCACTGACACACAAATTGGAAACAAATTAGATGTTTAGGAATTGTAGCATTTAAATTTCATCAGTGCTTTATTTTCAGATTTTCAAAAAAAAATTATCTCTCTTTGTTCTCACAATTTTGCTTTAAATAACAAGTGTGAAGCTGCCTGCACATCTTACAAAAACTACTCTTTATTCCAACTGAAAGCTTAGAATTGAGCATCAGTCCAAAAGAGGGGTTCAAAGCAAAGGAAACCAGCACAGTATTTTGATTAATCTCCTTTTCTGTTTGTCTGGTAAGAGAATAGTGTCAATATTAATGAAAACAATTGTGATTAATGCAGTCAGCAAGACTATCAGAGAATCTTCCGCCACGTTATAATAGGAACCCATCACTTGAAACACTTTAATTACAGCTATTGTCTCTTGAAATGTCTGAGTAACTCTTAAAATTAGTCTGATTTGAAATAGAAAGTTTCCATTATGTAGTGAGATGTTAAACAGGGCCTTGCTGTGCAATTACATGGGGTAAAGTAACTATGAAAGTGGATTCCGTATGAGGGCTACACTGACAGCTAATGAAAAGATCTCATTTTCTGGCACCTGTATTTTCAGTATTTCCATGGAGATTTGAGTCTCATTTTAGGTAACATTTTCACATGGGAAAAAGGGAGTAAAGAATGTAGTTATGACTACTATGAGAGAAAATAAGGGAACTGTTTGTTAATGACAAGAGACATCTACAAGGAGCTCCAGTTGGTTCCCAGAGGTAAAAACATTTCCCTGTCCTCTCTTTCATAGCTTGAAATCACTGATTTTCACAAACTTGTTCCATGGCAAAGCATGCTGCTTGCTGCCTGCCATATGCTTAGCCTTTACACTGGCTTCAGGCACTTCAATTCACTCCTTCTAAGTTGTTCTCATCCATAAAAATACACCCTGCAGGTGTGCTGGACACCTTGCATATGATGACAGAACCAGAGTGGATGTCTCTGCCCAGAAAAAATGCTCAGCGCAGTAGCACACACAGTGTGGACAAATGTTCAGGCTGCACCTCTGACATCTGGCGTCTCTTTAGACGAGCTGTTTCAGGAAAAAAATTAGTTTGAGTGGATTTTAGGGAGGCACCACAGCCCATGAGAGATAATATCATTAGGCAACATGTCTGGAGAATGGGTGTCTGCTCCAGGCTCAGAGAGACCTGGTTTGGGGTTTCTGCTCTCCCCAGCATTGTGGCTGTGAATCTGAAATGTTTTCAACCTGCTCAGTCTTACCAGGAGAGGGCTTCTGTTTTGGATGATGAAAGCACATAACCACTATTTCAAAACCACAATTTTGGTTTGAAAGTGTAATTTCAAGGGATACATTCATTATAACAGCTATCATGTTCCCACCAAAGGAGAGCTGACGGTTCCAGTGCCCACATGCAGTGTCAGGGACTGCACGGGTTGCACCTTACTCTGAACCTGGTCACCCCTTTGAAATCTTCCTGCACTGCACCCTGGATTCAAAACTCAGGGAAGGATCTCCAGAGGAAATACAGGGAATTTAAGCCCTAAATTTATTTTCAATTCAGCTATAGCTTGCATCCCTGCACAGTAATGTTTGTTCCATCTCTTCCATGGTTCTGTTTTGTAATCAACACTAGAATGTAAAGAAAGAGAAAAGGGTCACTGCTGACATGGTGTGAAGAAATCACCCTTCCTGCATCTCTCTGTGAGGTGGGAGATGGGCTTTAGTGACAGAAGCTGCATGGGGCAGCCA